TGTCATAACCCAAATATTGTTTTTTTGGACTATTCGAAGAAGCTTTTGTGCAGCCTGGCAGAGGAGTTCTTGATGCTCTGGTTCCTCCAGCTGGATCATAAAGGGGCGAAGAGGATGAAGCCGGGGTGGGTGGGGTCGTTCACAATACCGAGGGCCTCGATGATTCACCATGCTTCATGGATTTGTTTTATGGAGGGGAGAGAAGCACTGATGGTTCTCCCCACTGTGACGGTCAGAGACCTTGCAGTTCCCATAGCAGACAGTAATGCAGTGGAGCGAGGCTCACCTTCTTCAGTCGATGCAGGAAGTGAGATGTTGACAACCACCTTTTCTGACCTTTTCTGAACTGAGCCCTGCCCACTTCAAACCAGTGAGAAGAGCACAGGGAAAAACTGAAATACTTCAATTTCTTTTTTGTATTGAAAAATCTAAAACAACTTTGGCAAAAAAGTTTTTGTTTATGTAGGACCAAATGGCTCATAGTATGATTGGGAGGGCCTTGGAAAGTGGCTTATGGACTTTCACATAGGGAAGAGCAGTGTGTCATGATTTAAGTCGTTTGTTACCGCCAAGTAATGTGCCAAACCTTAAGCTATTTTTTTATTATTCTCTTTTAATTACTTCACATCACATGCATGAGAAATAACTCCAGATGATTCTCTTCCGTTTAGTGTGTGTGTGTGTGTGTGTGTGTGTGTGTGTGTGTGTGTGTGTGTGTGTGTGTGTGTGTGTGTGTGTTTGTCTTCTCTGACCTAAAAAGCGGGATCACTGCGTGCATGCACAGAACAGCAGCAGAAAAACAGAGCGTGCCTGTATGAAAAAGTGTGTTCATGATATAATGTCACTCATGTTAGAAGATGACAAGAAGCATTATTTTCAGAGACAGTTTTTATGTTCTACAACATAGAAGAGAGAGACAGATCCATATCATACTTTTTTCATATCCCTCCGGTTGTCGCTAGTATTCGTGCTCACAATAAGGCTTAGTTTTTGGAAGTAGTGATTCTTAGTAATTGAGCTGAACTTTCTTACTACTTCTGTTTTTGTGTTCTTATATACATATACGTATATATGTGTATACAGTACGCGCACAGGTGGGTGTGTAATTAGGAATGAAAGCGAAAGTGAGAAGAAAAGATGGATGGCTGAAAAGTCCACATTAGCACATCTCTGCATCACTGTGAACGCCCTATATATGAGTTACCCCCCACTGTGTTTTTATTATACACCTTTCTAGGTGTATAATTATCATGTGTCATAGAAGAGTGATGATGAGAGTAGTAGACATGAATGCTAGTGGCCTTGCTGCCATTTCCGCTGAGAATAAGACACTGGCCACAAATGATTGGATTAGTGTTTAACCCCCCTCCACTTAGCATAATCCTCTTTGCAGCTTTTTCTCTCTTCCTCTCTCTCTCTCTCTTTCTCTGCGTGTGTGTGTGTGTGTGTGTGTGTAGCTATCTGCTCCCATTGCTTTGCACGCTCCTGCCGTTTAACAGCAAGGTCAGTTGGATAGCTTGTCCATGATCGCCATCATCTGACATGGGACGCATGTTTCCTGCGTCCACTCAACAAGCTGTGTGGGAAGCAACTGGCAGCAAAGTTGAGAGATGAGCCACAAGGAGAGGGAGGCCAGAGGAGAGTGAGGGTGGGAAGAAAAAGTGGGGTAGGAAGTCGTCCACGGTATGCAGAGATGGAGATGAGTGTTAATAATAGAAAATCTGAGGCCTTGTTGAGCAAATATGGGCACTCGGTGATCGAGGCAGCGCGGCCAGAGGTGAAGACATAGGGGGGGTTCCGGGCGCAGGATTATTGTGGAAGGGTGGTGGAATAGAGCAATCAGTTGAAGGTCTGCAGGGTTTGGTATGTCATTGTCAGCCTTTCTAAACAGCCTGCAGAGCGATGGGCACTTTGAAGTTTCGCAGAGCTGCTTAAATCCTGCCTGAAAAGATGCAGAGAACCGCGAGGCACAGTGAACAGACAGGAATATACAGAGGGAGAGAGAGAGAGCGAGACAGACTGGAGGGGCAGGACGAAGGGAAGGATTGATGATGGGTGAAACATGGTGGAAGGGAATGAGAGTAATCAGAAGTAAGGAGGCAGCTTGTTTCAGGAGGATGACAGGACAGGAGACAGGCGAGCGGAGGAAAGCTCTTAGTGCACCATCATATGAGTAGTATGGGGTTTTTTTTTTTAGGGGGGGTGTATGAGTAATATGTTTCCAGCAGTTCTAGATGAGTCGCTGCAACATGAGAAGCAGTGATGCAGCGGTACAGCTCTGAGCTGATCTAAGCTGGATGTGGGTAGACTGGGCGCCGCCAGATTAGCAAGGAACAGGGTCTGAGTCAGAATAGATGGCTGCCTCTCTTACCTAACGCATCCCAGATTTAGTCAGCACCCTTCACTATAGACTTTCTGTGGAAGTGATTTCCCATGTTAACTGATGTTTTAAATGTCAATGTGGCCAAATGTTTTCGCAGGTTATGGCCTCTAGTTATTGCACTGGAGTGGAATGGCGGTATGTGCAGCTGGGAAGAGATGAGTAAAGTAGCTACTGATATTTGGTTCATTAGTTGGATCAGTTTATCGTTTCAGGCCTTGTGAAATATTCCTGCACATAACTATTATGAGTCAGTGACATTACAGTGACATACTTTTCTTTCATGAACATACTTAATATTCTTTTATAAACTATTTTTCTTTTTCTTTTCTTCACAAACATAATTACCATGTTTAATTTTTAGAATAAAGACATTTATGACTATGGTTTAAGAATTTACATCTTGATCAGTCCTTTGGGGGTCCTTTAGGAGACATCAAGCCATAAGGAATGATTAGTTAAATCAGTTTTCTCTTTGTTGTGCCATCCAAGCGAGGGACTGTAAATCAGAGATTTGTAAAGATTTTATCAGCTCATAAGAGGGATGTGTTTCATAAACCAAGCAATAGACAAAAGACCTGACGCTCCGAGCTCAGCAAGGAAATAAGATGTATGATCAACATAGACAGATATACATGTTTTCACGCACGCAAGCCCACACTCATAAATGTATGTACGCACATTGAAGTAAATGTGGAACCTTCCTCCCGCTTTCCTCCATTTTGCCGACTCAGTGAACACAATCTGCGAAGGTGACTTCATTTTTCAGCAAGATAACCTTTCATTGTAATACACACACGCAGACTCATGCATGTTTGCGCATGGACACACACGTACACGGGCGTAAATGGACTCAAATTATAACAGTGAATGAAAGGTGGGGGTGTAGTGGAAGTGTGAGAGAAAGTTACTATGAGAGGAAAGAGGATGTTGAAGTTAAAAAGCTGTTCTGGTGAATTATTAATGCCAAGCATTGTGCCCACAGACACAGCCTCTTACAGACTTTCTTTCTCACACACACACACACACACGTGCGCACACACACAAACCCAGCTGCAATCCCCAGTTGCTTGTGCAGACAGGAAACAGCGTACTTGTCGCTCTGTCTGGATTCGGGGGGTGGATGGGGTGGGGGGTGGGTGGGTGTATGTGTAAGTGCTCTGTTGTCTCCGGCCCCAATGAGAGGGATGTTTGTAGTTGTTCCCTGAATGGTGAATGCTCTGTGTGTGTGTTTGGTGTGTGTGTGCATGCAAGGGGTTGAGGCAAGATTCACATATGTTGGTTGCCCTAAATATAGGCTACAAAGCAGTATACAGAAGAGTAATAATCAGTCTGAACAACAGGTTTAACACTACAATCAGCTGTTTTTGTTACAGTGCTCAACACGTGGTCCATACTTCACTAATTACATGTTTTATTTACATGAGAACATACATATGAGAATAGGTATTATTTATTAGGTTTATTATTTTTATTATTTTTTTTCTTATATGCTTTTTATTTGCAAAATGCAAATGATAGACTCTTAAATGAAAAATATAACAGCGCTGGTACAAACACTCATAAAACTGTGACTAAGCAAACTGAATTTGTATGTCTGGCCCAGGACATGGAGGTATTTGATACATCAGTACGGCGCCTTTTTCAGGTAGCAGTTTTAACAGTAATGTGTGTACTTCAACTGTAATTTCCCTTTACATCTTAGCAATTATGTCCAAATGCCAGAGGGTTCAGTTTATTTTTCATCTCCATAATGTGGTTGATTACGATGCCTTAATGTGATCAAGACACTGAGAACTGAGAGGGAGAAAATTACAGTGGGAAAAATAAAGTTGTCATTGCTGGTGGACAAAATATTGAATGTACTGATAACCCATGACCTCCAATTTGGCATTTCTCTATTGAAATTTCCTGTTTTATTTCAGCCACCATGTGCCAAAGCTGATCTGTCGGCACTAAGCAATATTGGCCAATATATCTGGCCAGCTGAATTGCCCAGTTGAGTTTTAATAAGTAGTCTGTGCTCATCCCTGCTCAGGAATGATGATGAGGACCAAAAATTATGGATGCGTCAGGCAAAACGGTATTTATCATCCATTTCAAAAACACCTGTACTTTGTACAGCTTGGCACAGTCCAAATGCCCGGCTGGCTTGTGTTTTACCAGCTCACACTGACCTCCCTCTTAAGTCCCAGATGGCTGCCTCTCACCTCAGTGTTGTACAGATGCAGCACTGTCCTTGTGGTGAGGGGTTAACATGCGAGTGCCTGTAATAGCAGTGAGCGTGATTGGATGATGGCTGTTAAATAGAGTGACTGTGAACGTTTCAAGTTGTTAGTGGTGTTCAAGAACCGTGTGTGTGTGTGTGTGTGTGTGTGTGTGTGTATGCACACCTCAACCTCAGTAAGCGCTCTCCAGAATGCTTAGCTGCACATGTCATGCTGTTTCTGTATTTTGTCGGAGATGTTGGGTGCCCATGCTTTATGTATTTAAACAGCAGTTTTTTAACCCAGGCTCTCTTTCTTTCCTCTCTCCCTGCCTTCACCTCATCCCCTCTCTCTCTCTCTTTCTCCCTTTCTTTTTCTTCTCTCTGTTTCTCTTTTCCCACCTCTGTCTGTAGCCGGTGTTGCCGTGGCTCAGAGAGTGGTGACGGTGCAGAGTGGACCGCTGGTACGGACCGAGGGCTCCCACGTGACCATCTGGTGCAACGTGACAGGCTACAAAGAGGGCTTGGAGCAGGACTTTGAGTGGTCCATGTACCTGCCATCAGCACCGGACCGGGAGATCCGCATTGTGAGCACGGCTCAGCCAAACTATGCCTACGCCGTGTACGCCCAGAGGGTGAATAGTAAAGAAATCTTTGTGGAGAGGTTGAGCCGAGACTCAGCTGTGCTCCACATCACCAAAGTGCAGGCCAAGGACCAGGGTCTGTTTGAGTGTTACACACCCAACACAGACGGACGATACCTTGGGTCCTACAGTGCACGTACCAACCTCACTGGTGAGTCTCTAAGTGCGCACGCACACACAAACACACTGTCAATGTACAAATTAACCACACACGCCAGTGTTATAGGTGTTAAACATGAATCCATCCGTAGTCAGTTTGCTGTATAGATGAATTGTGAACAGTGAGTAATTATTGATCAGCAATAATAATGGTTGATGAGCAACCAATCGTAATCAGCCAATAAACCCTCTGAATAGGAAATACCAGACAATTACCTCTCCAGCTACCTAAATACATCCTTTGAGTATATTTCTTGTTTATGTTTATTTATTGTTTGATAACTTGAATGAGTACAGTCCTCCTACTGTAATAACAGAAATCCTGCTGGCCATTCTTTAAAGGCACCCTGTGGAGTTTTTGACTATGAGTGGTCCTTGGTGGAGCAGTGTTTAGATGAGCAGATCCCCATCTAGTTTCTATCTTGTGCTTCTACTAGCAAACGTGAGGACACACATGGTCATACAAGGACAGGTATGCAGGTGATGTGATACGCAAATGCAAACATGATTGGAATTTTATAGGTTGAATTGGCATCCAGTTTATTGATTTAGCATCTTTTAAAGAACAATTGATACGCTAATGTAATGCTAATCTAAAGTGACACTTTTGAAGCTGTGTCATTGAGATTATACTATGTCAGTAACCTTCTAGGGGGGGCAAGGCAGGGCAAAGTGGAGCTGTGTGCCCCTGTTGAGCCCCCGAAAAACAACCAGCAATCCTATTCTGGAATATTATCCTGCCCCAGGATTGCCGTGTGTCAGTAGCTTGTGGTAATTTTATTAAACATGCATTTATTCAGGCACAATATAAGCATGATATCACCTAAATTAGCAAGGTATCAAAACGGCGCCTCATGATTAAGTAAAAAATGCAGAGCCTGCCTGGAGTTATTTCAGTACATATTGTGCCTTAGCGCTGCATATTCCAGACACATTTACAGCATGATTCTTTTTGAATCGTTTTTTTTTTTTTAATCAAATACAAACAAATACAAAATTAATAACCAGATCCCTTCCAAAAAGCAGCCATGATCTGGGCACCCTTTGGAAGGAGTGTGAGAGGAAGTGCTGCACTCCAGAGTCACACAGAGTCCCACCTGTTCTCACCAGGAAAACCAAGCCTCTCTCTCTCTCTCTCTCTCTCTCTCTCTCTCTCTCTCTCTCTCTCTCTCAGTCTCACCCACACACACGCTGACCTTCCTCCTTCCCCATCCTTTTTTTGAGCTGTTTGAATAATTGGCGTGATGTGAGAGTGTTTTCAAACAATGGCACGAGATTCCCTCTTCTCCTCTTTCCTGATCCGCCTAACAGGCCCACAGCGCTGAGGACTCGGCTGCCATTCTTTGCAATTCCATGTCTTTCACACATTCATGCCTTTATCCTCGACGTGGCTGTAAGTGCTTATTGACTGAGAAATATCAGTGTTTATATTGTTTCTTTTTGGTCAGCGTCAGGTCAGGCAGTGATCAATGCTTAGAGAGACAAAAGTTATTGTGCACTTCACAGATCAATAGGCTTGGGTTTTCATTCAATAGGTGTTTATTACTCGGACCTCAACAGTTGTGTTTTCTAGCATGAGCTGTATGATCTGCATGTGGGGCAGGGCTCAGGCGCAAGGCACAGTAAAACGGCACTGATGATAGCACACAGTATTTATAGAGCTGTGTGAGAGAGGAAGCTAGACAAGAGTATGCAAGCAGAGGTGTTGAGGGACTTTGTTATCTGAGCCTCTTTCTGTGTCTCTAACCTCCTAACCCAGTTTCAGAGGTCAAGGGTACGCAGCGGGGGCCCCACCGTCTTCCTCTCTGCTGAGCTTCTTGAGTCCCCCAGCAGCTGCACGCCCCTTCGGACTGATGTGGGCAAACAATACCTTGTCCTCCACCCTTCTCCCTGTCTCTTCCTCATTCTCCTGTCATTCACTCTGTCATCTGTCTGTCACATTCATCAGCCCTGGCCTCTTTCTTTAATTTGCGCTGGCTTTGTTGTATTAAAAACAGTCCTTTGTAGATGCTGCCCTTGAGGATGTGTGCTTCATGTGAAAGGACAACCACAAGCAGGAGAGTATTATGGAGGAAATATGGGGAGGACGGATATCAGATAGAAGGGCAGACAGAAGTGGGGGGGGGGTGTGTCTGGCGGTGGAGTGATTTGGTTAATTGAAAGGGTAGAAGGCCACGCAGTAATCTGTGCCCTGAGTGCTGCATTAAGGCTTACTCACAGGGATGCATTTCACCCACTGTCAACTGGTTTCAGCGTGGAACTTAATACCTGCTGCTAGAAGAGGAAAACTGTTTCAGCAGTGCACCTGGACACCGCTCTCCCTGATACTATGATGCAGTGTTTTCTATTGTTGTATTGCCCGTCACATAGAATCGGACACTCCAGCTGTGCGTGTGGTTGATTGTCTGGAAAACTGATCCCCATTTGTCTTTGTATGCCTGAGATGCTTTTGTTTTTGAAGGGAGTAAGCAGTCAGAAAGTGTGTGTCTTTTATACCCTCTGATACTAAACTTAGATTGATCAAATGAAAATGTAGCTCTGTTCAGCCCCCAATTGCCAATACTGCCTCAGGCAGTGTGGTATTATTACACGTGTCAAGAATAATTGGCCATTATGGCACATATACTGGACTATGTCCACAAAATCATGGAGTGACACAGATATGCCGAAAAATCATTATTCTGTAACACAGAGAAAGGTTAGATTTGACATTTCTTTCGTTATTTTCCTCCTAAGATTTTGAACTGGTAGGCAGGACGGTGTGCTGGTTGGTAAGGTCCAATCAGAGATCTCCACTGTTACTGAAATATCAGCCTACATGTTCAGAACGCCAATTACTACTTCTTACTTTATATTAAGGATGAGTATCCATGTATTTGAAATCTCAAAGTGACAAACCCACAGAGATTTATCACCCAACTCGTTCAGTTTAAAAGCTCTTAAAACCCACTCTTAGCCACCTGCCCAGCACCAAACAGCAGACAAACATTTAGCAACCAGCTGGTGAACAAACTGAAGCAATAAGCTGATAAAGAGCCACCTTTTTCCTTCAGGAGTTGGTGGAGAACAAAAACAGAGTTAAAAGTAAGATGGTCCATGTGTGCTGGATGTTTGAATAGGAGTATGTATGCTAAAAGGTGAGCCATATCAGCTTTGTAAGGTGATGATTGGTCTGTGTTTTAGAGCTTGTTTTTTGTTGCCTCCAAGTGGCCAAAAATTTTTTTTTTTTTGGCACAAACTGCCCCTAAAACCCCCAACCAACAGTAAATTGTCACTGCTAACAAGAACTGTCTGTTTAGCTATTTTGCCCTTACATTTTGGACGTCTACAGAGTAACTGTGGGTCAGGTTAACGGTACCATACATGCTCAAAGGTGTGACCCGATGTCCGCTTTACTTGATTGACAAGTTGAGAGGTGTAAACCAAACTTGCTGTCTCATAAATGAAACACTTTTCAGTGGAGGTCGATGTGTCAACTGTATTTTCTCTACAGCCATTATTTCTCACACTCTTAGATGGTGTCTTTTTATAGCAGTAGTTTTTTGTGCTGCACTGTCCTTGTTGTTACACAAGGCATGCATTCAACCTGGGTGTTATGAAGCTCTTTGAGGTCAAAGGTCGTCCGTGGTTTCTCCTTACACACCTCTATTCTCTGATCTTAGTCTCTTGAATTTGAGTGTGTGTGTTTCTGTGTGCTTGTTTGTGCGTGTATGTATGTGTGTATTTGGATTTCCTCCTACACATCAGATTGCAGAAGAAAAGGACAACAGCCTGACATGGCCATCATGGTTGTCCTTATCCTACGCACCAGCCTGTGCGCGAACGAGTCCAAAAGCTAGCAGAACAACAAGCCCTCGCTGAGACAAGTATCACACTGCTCTTACTTATGAAGCTGCCATATAGCCTCACTGTCATAGAAAGCACCATAAGAGTCACCGTGCTGGCAGATATACAGATTCTAGCCTCCGCATTTGGCAGTCGTCATCCATTCCCAGTCCCGTAGTAATGTAGTAATGGAGCTGGAGACCCAAAGCCTTGATACATTCTCAGAAAGAGGCACTCCTGCTCCTTTCTGTTATTCACCGCCACGGGACAAGACACAGGAAGAAAACGTCCATCTTCAGATGTGTGACTAGAAAAAAATGTAAGTTTGGCAGCGAGTGGGTTTGTAGAAAAGAAAGTGAGATGGATGGTGCAAAAAGGCAGAGATGAGGAAATTGGAAAAGAGAGGAATGGGGACAGAAGCGGCAGTATTCGAGATGGGTAGTGGGGTGATGCTGAATAGAGTGTGTGACCAATAAATGATGAGCTCTTCCTCTCGACTCCAATGTGATTGGTTACACCTCCCCGAGGCATTACCCACAATACAACTGGCGCTATAGGGGTGCACTTTAAATAGTCTCTGCCTGATGTGACTCCTAAGGTTAATGCAGTTGCCAACCGCCATCCAAGTTCTAAACGCAATTAGCCAGTACAAATTGAGGAAGCTGGGAAAGAAAGAGAAAGAAGGAAAAGGCTAGAGATGAGAACCAGGAATTTCAATTAAGGAAGAAGAAAACTGTTGGGCGAATCATTTTCAGAACATTTTTCTAGTCACACTTTTCATTTTCATTATATTTATGCTCTACATTTTTTTTCTTCCATTTTCAGTGGAGGAAAAAAAAATCCTTTCACCTGCTAAAACCGTGGCTCTATGGTAAGCTAGTAATCTGTGAAGCAGTGCCTATCCAAGGTCAAAATGCAGTTATCTTTTTTTGTTTGTGTGTTGCTGTACACGTGCAACCTTCAAGCACGAGTGTTTGTGACGAGGGCAAAGAACAGGGCTGTTGACTTTTCCCTAGCTTAGCTGGGGTCGTGCACCGTTAAACACACATACAGAGTAACAGTGGCTGAATGATGCTTCTGCTGAGCTCAGCATTGTGAGTGTGCATCTGATTTGTATGTCTCCCCTGACTTTCTTTACACAAGAGAGTCAGCACTGCCAAGTTGCAC